TAGGCAGGCAGAGGTGGCTGCAGCTTTTCTTGACTTTAGACATTTCCCCGCCGTGCACACGCAGCACGACTCTTCGAGGCAGCAGCCAGCACGCGCGATCGGGGGTCCCTTTCAAGTGCGCCCCATCTTCTTGTAGACTCCCCCCATCTGCACGCACACTGCGCGCCCCGGCCCGCTCATTCGTTCGTTTCACATGCAAGCCCTCGCTTGGCAAAGCCGCACCGGCACGTGCGCTTCACCGTGCCATCGAGGCTCCATGACTGTGGCACATTGCGGGCGCATGCGGCCCAGCGCTTCAGCCGGCTTTCTCGCACCCAGCGGGCGCACCCCTGGCCCCATTCTGCGCATGTGACCACTGTGCATGTTGGCTCAACTGGCCAGGCGTGTGTTGCTACAGACCCCCCGTGCTCGAGTGTGCGGCCCACACAGGGACAGTGTCTGGGCTCAGTCGCGGGGATCCAGCAGCATGAGAAGTCACAGTGAGGTGATAATGCATGTATTTGGTGTCTGGCCGATCTTGGAGCCGCGTGGAGTGTTGCACGTGTGAGACGGCAGCGAGCGCAGCCTGGAGCAGGCCAGACGCCACCTGATCTCAAAGAGCCCGGGTGGACAGTCACTAATATTTAATACATGAGCAATGAGGGGTTCGAGTCCACGAACAATTGCAAAGCTGACATGGGTGGAACGTTCATTGACTTGGGTGGAACGTTCATTGCTTGCCAAGTGTCCAAGCAGTTGTTGAGTGACAGCAACAACCGAGTTGCCAGTGCTCGTGGTTCAGGGGTCGGGTGGACGAGGCACCGCTGTAAGCGCCTGTGCTGCTGATCAGATAGAAGCACTGCTTTGACGGCACGATTTCTGCAAATGAGCCGCACTAGACCCTCGGTGGTTTGCCCGAGCACGGCAGCAGCAGCTCCAGTTTGTCGGCGACCACTTGTGGCGTGCTGTCCACCTCAGCAACCTAACACCCCTCCTAAAACTGACAGAATTTTCGCACAGGGTTACGCTCCTCCCTTGCGCGCCCCATGACACGCACACTGCGCAATCGCCGGAAGCTGGTCAAAGCCTGACAACCGAACAATTACAGCTCCGGCAGGTGACCCGCCGCCAGGCAGCACAAAGGCAGCCTTATCTACCATGCCCACCCCCTCCATCCCGCCAACATGCCACACGAAAGCATACAAGCCCCCTACCAGCCCCTCCAACCCCCCGCCGCCTGCCGTAACATCCAAAGTCGACCGCCGACCGAAAACCTGTGCCCACACGTTGGTTACAGTTCTCGAATTGTCGTCACGCCGAGCGGACGGGACCAGGGCTCAAAAGCGACACGTGCGGGCGCGCGGCTCCACGCGGGCCACCCCTGAGCGAGGGCACCTCCCTGCGGGAGGGAAGCAGAACGAAAAAGCGCGTCCCAGGAACTCAATGCCACTCCAACGTCGCGGCCCCGGGGGGTTGCTTGCATCAACGGGAAAAAAGACGTGCGGTGCTTCACATGCTCACGCTGTTGTGCATGCGCATGAGCGCACCCAACAGTGGCAGCGTGCGCAGCGGGGCGCGGCCCCCCCCGCACACCAGGGCCGCCCCCTCCCTTTCTCCGGCTCAAGCCCGCATGGGAGACGCTGAGACACTTGCCCCGCGCGTATGCGGCGGGATTTTATCACGTGACAACGCAAGGCAAGGCAAGGCGAGGCAAGGCAAGGCAGATGTGAGCGGGGGCAGCAGGCCCCAACCCCCCCTCCACCGCGAGCACGGCGCGCGCCCGCGGCGACGGCGCAGCTAGCAGGCTGCTGCGCCGCGCGCGGGGCGCCGCGCGCTGCAGCTTCAAACACGTCCAAGGAAACGTTTCCACACTCGTGGGGGTCGAGGCTGCCTAGAGGGCGAGGTGGCTTGCGTCCCCTGAAAAACGCATGCAGATTCCAGTTGCTTTGAGATGGACGGGCGTGCGTTTGGGGCGCGGCGGTGCGCACGCTCTGCGGGCCAGCCTGCTCCTGCCGGCAGCAGGAGCTGGGGGCCCGCGGAACGCCGCTTGCCGCCTCTTGTATGCAACGCAGCCCTAAACCCCCTACCCTGGCCGCCCTCCGTCAGTAAGACCCTCAACCTCTATGCACGATGTGCGAAGTCCCGATCATAGCAGCAGGGACAGACGGAGGATGTGGATCTAGCGGTGAAAATGCACGTGGTAGGTGGGGAGTGAAAAAAAAAAGGCAGGCATGGAACGAGTCATGGTGCCGCGTGTTTGAAAAGGGCACGGGCTGCTGTCGGTCGGTCTCCTGTCGCCGCCGACAAGTGCGCAGTCAACAAGCAAGCAAGTAATTGCGCACACGAATGACGCAAGGCGGCGCTGGCACCGGGGTAGAATACACGAAAGCATTCGAAGCTCCCAGGCAACGGCACACGCCTTGCCATCTGCACTCCAGCAATGAATACCCAGGCATCCGCCGCCGCCAGCCACTCCTCCCTCGGAGCAGCCAGCGGCGGCAGCCGCTTGCAAGCTCAACCAATTCACCCCCTGATGGCCCCGGCTTCGCAGCCGGCGGCGTCATTTTGTGCACGCATTGCTGCGGCCAGTTCAGGCTTGACAAGAAATGCCAAGCAGCGGGAAACAGCGACAGCGCGTGAACATGAGCGCTTTTTGATGATGATGGTAAGAAGCCGGCCCCTAGCCATTCTGCCTCCAGGGGTCGGCACGACCCGCTCGATATAACCCTCCTCAGGTTCTTGCCCTAGGAAAACTTTGCCTGCTGTTGTACCCAAAATGGCTGGGGCCGAGACAATCAGCTCCGAACCCCTCTTCGTGCCCTCCGCCCACCCCAGGTCGCAACAGCGCGGCGCGCTGGTGCGGCCGCCACGCCCCAGCCCGCCGCGCTGCCCGATGAAACAAGCCGCAGGAATACCCCAGGTGCCGCCCGCCGCGCCGCGCCCCACGCCCAAGGGGGCTGCGGGGCGCAGCGTGGCTGCCGGCCAAGCGCGGGCCCACACTGTGTGGCCTCTGGCCCCCGCCAGCCGCGCCACAGCGACGCCTGACGGCCTAGCCGCCCTGGCGCTCTGGCTGCCCATGGGGCAGCTGCGGCTGCCGACGCTGCTGAGGAGGTGCCTGTCCATACTGCTGTGCATGCGCCTGCGCCTGCGAGGGCGACGCGCCTGCCGGCGGCGGCGGCGGCGCTGCCTGCTGGGGGTGCGGCTGCTGCTGCTGTCGCTGCTCGAGCAGCGTTGCGACAGTGTCCACGGCCTCGGCGAATTTCGGAACCGCGACAGCCGGTATAACGATTGTGGACCTGCGTGTCCAGCGGGCGGCGGGTCACAAGGAGGGGATTGCACAGTGTTGGGGGTCGGGGGTGGCGGAATGGCAGCAAGATGATGCCTCATCAGCTGAAATCGACGCACGCACACCCGATGTCTCGCCTCACGCCGCGTCAGTTCAATCAGATTTGACACACGGGGGAATGCATTCGTGAACAAACGGATTTTAATTGGAACAAACGCACACAAGAGCGCAGACAAATATACGTCACAAGCGTGCAGGAGGGCAGGACAGCAGAGCACATGGGCACTGTTGTGAGCGTGCGCTGCTGCTGACACGAGTGCGGGTCGAATGCATAGCCTCCACCCCATGGCTCCCAGCTCCCTGACAGCGCCATGCTCGCCTGTCTTGGTGCGCGACCTCTGTGATGCGCATGTAGTGGCCGCGCGAGGTGGAGCCGATGTCGAAGAACACGCGGCGGCCGTTGCACGACAGCACTGGCGTGCCCTGAGGGCTCGTCGTGAGCGTCGGGGGCGGGTGCCCCGGGCCGACGACCAGGCTGCTGGCCACGTCGAGCACGGGCGGCTGCTGCGGCTGCGGCGGCGGCGGAGGGGGGCGCGGCTCGCTGCCACCCTCGCCTGCGTGCTGCGCGTCAGCAACTGGCTGTGACTGCTGCTGCTGCTGCTGCTGAAGCTGCTGCTGCTCGGGTGCTTCACGCTCAACAACCGCCCCGACGCGGCGAATGCAGTCGCGCAGCACCACCCAGCCGTTGAGCTCGTCGCCTCCGCACGGGATGATCAGCGTGTGGCGCCCGCTCAATTGGCTGTGCATGGAGGTTGCGCGCGAGGCAGGGCCGTGAGGGGTGCGCACCAAGCGCCACGGGGCGACCTAGCAGCGTGGGCAGGATGCCAGGGTCAGGTGACGACCGGCTGGGGCTGGCCGGGCAGCCTGGGCTGCCGCCCCAGAGGCGTGGCGTGCGGGCCCACCTGACACCCGACTCGCTGATGCGGAGGAACCTGCCGCGCTCGTTGCTGCCCACTGAGAAGTGGAACACCTTGTTCTCGACAGCGAGCTCCTTGTGGCCCGCTTCGCGGCTGCGAGGTCGAGGCAGGGTCGGCGGGGTGGTGGGTTGACGCCTGCCGCTCAGCAAGGCGAACCTGTCTGTGGGTCCGTGCGGGCGCGGCGGGCGCGCGGCGTGGGGAGCGACAGCCGTGGCAGCTTCGATGACTCAGGGGCCCGCGTCACACCACTGCTTACCCAGCGGCAGACTCTCTAATGTAGTAGTCCAGAAGGCTGTAGACCCACTTGACGGCGGACGCGGGAAGCAGCACGGTCGAGCGCGGCCGCTTGCTGCCAGTCTCGGAAAGCTTCAAGTACTGGCCGCGCTGCAGTGACGCAGGGGAGGGGGCGGGGCGGCAACACACAGGGCGTTTCAGGGAGCGTTTTGCCAAGCCCGCTCTCCAAAATGCTGGCGCCACCGCCGCTGCACTGCATGGCGTGTTGCATGCCTGAGACTGCCATCCAATAGGCAGAAAACCCGTCTGTCAGCTCACCGCGTTGACCCGCAGGTCAGCGTAGATGACCTTGGACTCGATCTGCGTTGTGCGTCCCAAGACGGCGGCGGTTATATGAATGCACAGAGGCAGTTGACAGGTTCCGTTTCAATTAGGTGAAACGGATGTGCTGGGTTTGATAATGTGTGGGAAGTATGGGTGCAGGCCTTGGCCTGGCTCGCCCGGCGCAACATCGAGGCATGCCATGGGCCACGAGGACTGGCCCGGTGCGCGGCGCGCGTTCCATCGGGCCGCCGGTGGCTGAGGAGAGCTGGTCGCGCTTGCTGTGCCCTGGCAGGCCTATAAGCTCGCTCACAAGTTGAAAAGAGCGCGGTCAGGGGCGGTGGCGCGCAACAATAGGCCCGCCAACAGCGGGGCGTGATCCGGCCATTCTCCCGCCCTCCGCCCCTGAGGGGGCCCGCCACCTACCCTGATGCTTTCACAGTAGACATCCGAGTCCTCGCTGGCAGACATCTAGGTGGTGGCCCTTGCACCCGCGCCGGCATTGGCGGGCCTTCAGCTAGACATTTATTCACAACCTAACACAATCCATCCGACAAAATAGCCCACCACAAATGGATCGCGGGCTCCGTTTCCCGTCAAGAGCTGGGGGCCACCGGGAACTGCTGGGATCTGGTCCGCTTCGCAGCCCCGCTCTGCTCTCGGTGCTCTCACCCGGCCACATACATCATTTGTTGCTAGGTCAGACCGAAGAGCAACTCTCAGTCAACCAGTTGAGTCACCAATACAAAGCCATGCAATTGTTCAGCTGAACCTGGTAGGATATAGCGCATATACATTGCTTACACAACAATTTTCACCATATCTGAAAAGCCGTGTGTGACTTGTCGGGCCTCGGCGACCTGGTCGACGCCGGCGCCGCTGACGATGTGAACTCGACAAGGGTTCATGTCGCGGCACGCGTCCCGGCTCACAGACGACGGTTGCACCCAAGGGTGACATGGGGTGAGACCGGGAGAGAATGCGGCAGCAAACGCTGATCACAGACAGAGCAAAGGCAGGGCGTCATGCTGTGTCGTGTGTCGTCCATTCATCAGTCGCTTTGGGCCCGGGGTCAGTTTTTCAAACCCAGTACCCAGGCCCCTTTGCCAGAGACCATCACGTGTCGTTTACAAGCTCTGAGGTGACCACTGCATCGCTGTGGCTAGGTGGGGCTCTTGGCCCAGGTGCGACGGTAATAAGAGCACGCTCAGCAACATGAACGATAGTGAAGAGAGAAGAGAATGGGTTTGCAGTGCGCCGAGTGAGTCCGGGCGAATTGTCTGATTGTGAACACAACAAGAGGCGCGCAGCAGCAGCCAAACCCCAAACAATCACAACACATCAACATGGCATGCCCATCTGCCCTACCATGAGGCCTCTCGCCCTGACCAAGGCACAGCGCCCCGGGCGACGCAAGAATGCCCAACGTGTCGCGCCGCGTCAAGGCTCGTAGTTCAGCATGGTGGCCAGCCACCTCTCGCACTCCTTCACGTCCATCTTCTTGCGCAGCGCATAGTCCGCCACCTGCTCCTGAGTGATCTTCCCCACAGCAAAGTAGCTGCTGCACTTGCCGCCGAAGTAGAGGCCGCTGACGCTGGCCGCCGGCAGCATGGCCAGGCTCTCTGTCAGCTCTATTCCTGTCTGCGGCTTGATGTCCATGAGGGACCACATGGTCTCCTTCTCAGTGTGGTCCGGCTGGGACGGGTAGCCGGGGGCGGGGCGGATGCCCTGGTGG